AACCATAAGATAATAGTCTCATGAACAAAGGAGAATTATTTATCATTAAGTTAATTCAAAATAGAAAAGGGTAAAACAAACCATTAACAAGAGATTCGGGAAAGGGGGCGTTGCAGTGATTAATGACATGAGTTATAGATCAGAATGGGAAACACATCCTTGAAGGAAACAACATGTCAAGTAGATTAAAACCAAATTATAGGTTAAGACTCTTTTCTGAATAAATCTACACATATAAAACGAATAAACACCTTCATGAATTTAGAAGAGCATACATAAGACATACAAGACAATGAATAATCTCATATAGGAGTGATATCGTGAAGTCATCAATTATTCATAAAAGAAAATGATCCAATGACTGGAAATTCAAAACGAAAACATGTTCCTTGCTACTTTCGTCCTATTTCACATATCGCAAGATTAACCCGAACTCAAATAGAATGAATACATAGCTAATTCATCGAATGGAAAGTCAACTCAACTTTGAGCAAAAGAAAACTGAGAAAAAATCATTTTGAGCGAACAAACCAGCTACATACTGATCAGTGAGTCCAAAGTATTTCTAAATGCCAACATATAAACATCTTACACATTGAGAATATGACAATAACACATTAAGAACAAAAGTTATTGAACCGAACGAGTATTACCTTTAAAGGTGCGGTGAAACTGAACAACGACGAGCCAAACGAAAATGATCTTTCACCGCCAAGATGTGATTCCTAAAACTCCAATGAGCAGCAAGAAACAACGAGAGCAAGAACTAAACCAAAATCTGGATTCGAAGAAACTATCCTGAATATCTGTGTATAATAGTATAGCTGGAAATTTTAGTGTATGTTTTTGTCTTGAAGGCTAGCCGATTCCTATATTTCTTCCAACCTTGAACATGAGGAAGGGGGGGAGTATTTATAGAAATAGATTAGGGTTCCAAACTTTTGGGGGGAAACAGACGATAATTCGGGCAAACCAGGGTCCCATGAAAACCAATTTTGAATTCAAAAATATCTTTCAGATAAGGGATATCCCAATTTGATTCAAAATTCTCACTAGATTGGGGGCGAGGTGGACGATTTTGATCGATCTGATGTCCTTGGGAGCGACGTGTCTCCATCTCGTGGCTACAACGAATGAGACGCGGCTATAACAAGTGCTTTTGCTGCCATAGGTACAAATTGGAAAGGGACCTTGGAGGAAGAAGACAAAGAAGTTGTTGTTTTCTATTGTACGCGTACAAGGCGTGAAGTCGTTGTGTATTTGCTGTTGGAATCGTGAGTTGCTACGTTTGGAATCGATGTCATTTGGTCGTTACTGTTTCCGCATTTTGCTAGGTGATGTTGACGTCGCCTCGTATCGTGAAGACGCCGTCTGGGGTTGATGTCGTTATTGACGTTGTTTTTTGCTTTTCTGTGTTCACGTCGTTTCGACCGTGAATGTTGTTGTCTGATATCAACGCTGGAGACGTCTGGGTCTTCTTTGGGATAGGGAATGGGCCGGGTCGGGGGAATTGGGAATTGGGTCGGCTGAGTGGATTTGAGGGAATATTGAATTGTACTGGGTTGGGGCTTGGAGAGTTTGGGTTACTGGAAATTGGTAAAGCCCAAAAACTTTGGCCTTAAGATGGGTTTGAAGAAAAGGGGAATTTGGCTAAAATTGTAATAGATTAATAATTTAGCCAATCGTATTAAAGAGGTATCCCAACATAATTCATTTAGAAGACTCGGCTGGAATTTAACTACGACGAATTAATATAACTAATTTATGAGCTTCTTAATCTTAAAGAAATAAAATAATTAACTTGATTATAAAATAATTAATTTAGATACCAACTAATTAATTCGAACTTTAAAACTATAATTCCAACCAAAACTTAAATAAATAAAATATTTATTTTAACAATGTAGAAATCTTTTGATATGATTTTCAAATATTTATAAAATATACCAAATATATGAAATATATTTATTATTCAAAATACTATAAAAACGACTAAAATTACTTAAAATAACCTTGAAACTATTTGAATTTTTATAAGGCTAATTATTCTAAATCGATTGGAAATCAAGGAGCTCGGAAATCAATTATTATCGGGGAGGGTCAAAATTGGGTGTCAACAACTGTTCCTCGTTTGACTTGGATTGATGAAAGAAATCTGAGGAAAATGAAATTGACGAATCCAATTTTGACCGACCACATCTTCATGTTTTGGCAGAGGGACTTGGTACGGACTTTAAGAAATACGGCCGAACCCTGAAAATGGGTTTCCTACATATCTAAGGCCATATGAGAATTTAGGTCACTTGTAGTTCGATACCCTTGATTTGACGCACGATTTTGAAATAATTCAAAACCATCCAGATATCGAATTATGAAGACACCAGAATGCTCGGGAATAAGATTTAAGAGAGAATATCGGAATACAGCTGAGTTTTCAACACTGATCCTGCCTATATATCCCTCAACTTAGGGAATCAAGCTACTTGTAGATCAACTTAATCGGTTGAAAAGGGAATCTATTATGCAAGATAACCTTTGGTTCTAGAAAAATGACAAAGTAAGTCGAGTATGAAAAGGAGGCTTGCAAACTCTCAGCCATGAATGTGGCATGCTTCACACCCATAATTAAGAACTTGCATGGACATAATCTCCAAAGCTCTTAGAGCATTGTCACTCTGATTGGAAAGTTGCCTCTGGTGAAAACCATAAACTTCCGGATGCAAAACTGAAATCGATAAACCCAAAGGAAAACTCACATGCCTTCTGATAGGGGTGTGGTTTGATTGTGGTGGAAGTCACTTCTCAACTCGCGTCCTAAGAGTTTGGCACTCTTCTTTGGACTATGTCCCAGTTCGTCACTAAAAAACGTTACACGTTGTGTTGCATCCTTTTTATGTTGTCCGCACCTGTAGTTTGTTTTGGAGAATTCATCCTTTCAGATGCTCTCGACAAAGACTAAGATAAAACTCATTAGCATAAAAAATGTAGTTCAAATGGGGAGATGGCATTTTTTACCGTGTTGACACTTAGTTTTTCTCCTTGAACATTTGACGTAAAACAAATAAAGCGTGTATCTCATATATGCAATATAATCTTCAATGTACTCTTTCTTTGATGTCGAAGTAATAAAATAGGCTGATGTAATATGTTGATAGTTCTCTTGATGTCGTTGTTGATGGTTCTCTTGATGTCATTTTTGTAAAGTAAATGATGTAGCCGATGTTGATCTTCTCGTGATGGGTGAATCTTTCTCTTGCGATGCACGACTCCTTTCTCTTGTGATGTATGACTCATTTCTCTTGCGATGCATGACTCGTTTCTCTTGCGATGCATGACTCATTTCTCTTGATATGCATGACTCTTTCCTCTTGCGATGCATGACTCCATCTCTTGTAATGCATGACTCCTTTCTCTTGCGATGCATGAATCTTTCTCTGCGATACATGACTTCTTTCTCTTGCGATGCATGACTTCTTTCTCTTGTGATGCATAGATCTTTTGCTTGCGATGCATAGATCTTTCTCTTGCGATGCATGACTCTTTTGATGATGCCTCCCTGGTACCGAACGAAGATAATGCTTCACCGAGCAACATAGGTGATCTTCTGGGTATCTTCTGGGTGGCGGTATCATCTCAATTGACAATACAATAAAAATGACTCTCGGAGTAGTGGTATCATTTCATTTGACAATACGATATGAATGTCTCTCTGGGTAGTGGTATCATCCCATTCGACAATACGATATAAATGACCCTCAGAGTAGTAATATTATCATGTCTGATAATATGATGCAGATAACGTCCACCAGGTGTCTTTAGTTGATGGATAACAGTAAAATTGCTTTCTTCGGGGTTTTCATTTGTTTCATCTCCGAACATAGTGGCATGTTCGTTATGGACTTTGTCTTGCTGAGAATTGAGCGAAACAATGCTACTTATATTCTCGATTCTTGGTCATAAGAAGCATGAAGCTTTTCCTACATCCACATAAAATTGTCAATTACGGGGAGATCCTCGCCCTTTTGACTTCTCCATTTTCATTGAATGGAGGAATATGCTGATTTTGAGGCAAACTTATAGACCTGCATCCACAAAAAAATTACTAGTTTAAAAATGAACTGATCTGTGTCGATCTCTTCGGTTGTCTGCTCCTTGTCTGGCTATCTCCAGTTGATTTCCCCGATCTCCCGCTTCTTGATAGATAAGACAAAACGTTTTTATGCAAAATAATTGAAACACGACAAAAGAGTTTAAAGAAAAAATAGGTTTTCAAAAAGTATTATTTGGAAAAGGTCACTGTCAAGTGTCATGTCACGTCAAGCTTTAGCGAACGTCTTTGAAGTTGTTGCCTCGAAGTTTATCCGATTATTTGCTGGGGAGTATTCAAAGTTGTTCTAAACTACCGATGAACTCAATTGAAATTTTTGAGGTCATCCTCAAAATTTCTGTCCCAGTTAACTGTCTTGGCGCATACTGAACTGTTGATGAACAAACTATGGAATATTTGAGATCCTCTAAAAAATTATGCGTCAGTTGCAATTCTCAACGTAACTTCAGTCTTGACTTGTTAGAGAGATCTTTTTCTTCCTCTGAAAAAATCTATCCCAGTTTCTATTGTAAAGCAAAATAGAAATCTTACGAGAGATATGACCGAGCCGTTGTGGCACCTACGTATCCCGTTGAAGCAGAAATCAGGTCAAACGTAGTTCCTCTTCAAATATTAGCAAAAATAAGAAAATAAAAACAAAGAACCGACCGAGGCCGACATAGGTCGCCTACGTATCTCAATCTTGAGAATTCAGGTCTAACGTAGTTCAGGTACAAGGAAAATATTAAAAAGGGTTAAAGGGGTGACTGAGGCCGACATAGTCCGCCTACGTGTCTCATTCTTGAGACTTCATGTCAGACATAATTCATTACAGAGGGATAAAATTCTAAACAAAACCATTACGAGCAAATAGAACAATTACAATGAAATAACAAAAATACAAAATGAAACTTCACATATAATATCTCTTGACAACATCTGAGTTGATCAGTTTGGGCCACTTTGTGCCATCCATCTCCGATAGGACCAAGGCACCTCCAGATAACACTTTGCAAACCATGTAAGGTCCTTGCCAATTTGGTGTAAATTTCCCTTTGTACTCATCCTGATAAGGGAAAATGCGTTTGAGAACCAATTGGCCAATTTCGAATATCCTGGCTCTTACTTTCTTGTGGAAAGCACGAATCATTCTCTGTCGATATAGTTGACCATGACAAACAACAACCATTGTCTTCTCATCAATCAATGTTAACTGATCAATCTGTTTGCGAACCCAATCAGCATCACTCAATTCAGCTTCTTGAATTATTCTCAAGGAAGGTATCTCAACTTCGGTAGGTATAATTGCTTTTGTTCCATATACTAACAAGTATGGAATTGCTCCAATTGATGTCCTAACAGTCGTTCTGTATCCCAACAAAGCATATGGCAACATCTCATGCCAAACTTGGTGATTATGAATCATTTTTCTCAAAATCTTCTTGATGTTCTTGTTGGCGGCTTTTACAGCTCCATTCATTTGGGGACGATAAACGGTTGAATTTCGGTGAGTGATCTTGAATTGTTCACATATCTCTCATCAAGTGACTGTTGAGATTCGCTCCATTATCAGTGATGATGGATTTCGGTATTCCAAACCTGCATATCAAATTGTTGCGAACAAAATCAGCTATAACTTTCTTGATCACCGACTTATACGAAGTTGTTTCCATCCACTTGGTGAAGTAGTCAATGACAACCAAACTGAATTTGTGTCCGTTAGAGGCGGCTGGCTCTATCGGACCAGTGACATCCATGCGCCAAGCTACAAAAGGCCAAGGTGAACTCATAGCATTGAGTTCATGAAGCGGCACTCGAATAAAATCACCATGCACTTGACATTTATGGCATTTCTGCACAAACTTGCAACAGGCATGTTCCATAGTCATCCAAAAGTAATTGGCTCGAAGGATCTTACTTGCCAAAGTGAGTCCATTCATCTGAGTACCACAAACTCCCGCATGTATCTGTTCCAGAAGCTTTACAGCCTCACTAGCATCAACGCATATGAGAAGACCTAACTTTGGAGTTTTCTTATAAAGGATTTCCCCACTTGGAAAGAAATTGTTAGCCATACGGCATATTGATTTCTTCTGATTGAACGTTGCATTTTCAGGATAAGTCCCGGTCTCCAAATACTTCTTTATATCAAAATACCATTGTAAACCATCTGGTTCAGTTTTAACATGTGAACAATGGACAGGTTTCTCTTTCACCTCTATATCCACGGGATCAATATAACTTATATCCAGATGTTTAATCATTGAGGCAATGGTGGCAAGAGCATCAGCCAACTCGTTCTGTGTCCTCAGAATGTGTCTGAATTCAATCTTGTGAAGTCTCTTACACAACTTCTGTATATACTGCACATATGGTGTGATCTTTGGGTTCTTCACGGCCCATTCTCCTTGAACCTGATGAATTAGCAAGTTCGAATCTCCAATAACTAGAAGCTCATGCACATTAATGTCGATGACCATCTTCAAACCAAGAATACAAGCCTCATATTCTACCATATTGTACGTGCAATCGAATCGGAGTTTAGCTGCCATAGGATAGTGCTGACCAGATTCTGACACTAAAACTACTCTGATACCTTTTCCTTGGTGATTTGGCGCTCCATCAAAGAATACTTTCCAGCCAGGGTACGCTTCCAAAATATCTTCACCCACAAATGCAACTTCTTCATCGGAAAAATAAGTATTGAGTGGTTCATACTCTTCATCAACTGGATTCTCCGCAAGATGATCAGCTAAGGCTTGTGCTTTTATCGCCTTCTAGGTCATATACACAATACCAAACTCTCTGAAAAGCATTTTCCATTAAGCCAACTTCCCGGTCGGCATTGCATTTTGGAAAATATACTTCAACGGGTCCATTCTGGAAATAAGGTATGTGGTATAAGAAGGCAAATAATGTCTCAACTTCTGAGCAATCCAGGTCAAAGCACAACATGTCCTCTCCAAAAGAGTATAACGAGCCTCATATGGAGTGAATTTCTTGCTCAAGTAATAAATGGCTCGCTCTTTCTTCCCTGTTTTATCATGCCGACCAAGCACGCATCCAAATGTGTTATCCGAGATAGATAGAAACAGCAACAAAGTACTTCTTTCTTGTGGAGGAACCAATACCAGCAGATTAGACAAATAATTCTTGATGTCATCAGAAACAGTTTGACATTCTACGATCCACTTGGTCAGGGCACCTTTTTTCAACAACTTAAAGATGGGCTCACACACCACGGTGGATTGAGTTATGAACCGACTGATGTAGTTCAACCTTCCCAGAAAACTCATCACCTTTTTCTTGGTCTTCAGAGGAGGTAACTCTTGAATCGCCTTGATCTTGGAAGGTTCAAGCTCTATGCCTCTCCTACTGACTATAAATCCTAACATCTTCATAGCTGGCACTCCAAAAGCACATTTAGTGAGATTCAACTTCAAATTGTATCGACGTAGGCGATCAAAGAATTTTCTCAAATGAGTCAAGTGATCCAAACTCTCGCGGGATTTGATTATGACATCATCTACATTCACCTTAATCTCCTTATGAATCATATCATGAAATATGGTTGTCATAGACCTCATATAAGTAGCACCAACATTCTTGAGACCAAAAGGCATCACTCGATAATGATATACACCCTAAGGCGTAATGAAAGCTATTTTTTCTGCATCTTCTTCATCCATCAGGATATGCTGATAACCCACATAACAATCCACAAATGACTGCAACTCATGCTTAGCATAGTTATCAATGAGAATTTGAATGTTTGGCAATGGAAAATTATCTTTCGGGCTTGCTTTGTTGAGATCTCTATAATCGACACAAATTCTGTTTTTTCCATCTTTCGTGGCAACCAAAACAATATTGGCTAACCATGTTGGATATTGTGTCAGTTCAGCCACTTTAGACTCAATCTGTTTCATAATCTCCTCTTTGATCTTCAAACTTAGCTCTGTCTTGAATTTCTGAGTTTTCTGCTTTACCGGACTGAAATTTGGATTGATCGACAGTTTGTGAGACACCATGTTCGTACTTAGCCCTGGCATATCCCTGTAAGACCAAGCAAATACATCGATGTATTCTCTGAGCAAACGAACCAGGTCCCTTTTTTTAGCTTCAGTCAGATGGAAACTTACTTCTTTGACACACTCCTCATCTCCGATATTCACAGTCTCAGTTTCTTCCAAATTTGGCTTGTGTTGGTTTTCAAACTGTCGGAACTCTTCAGCAACATGATTGGGTACCACATTTTCTTCTTTATATTCCTCGCTTTCGTCATTACCTGCCTCATTCTGTTCGTTCAGCTCGTGACATGACATGACATTGGCAGGTTTTAAATTAATCTTACTGAAATCATAAACAAACAAAGTTAGGAAAGTAAAATATAAACAAATAAGTAAATAAACAAATTTTCGATAAAAGAGGCTTTCATTTAAGTTTAAAAATAGGCACAAACTTTGACCATGGCCAAGGGCCATTCCGCCTTTTTAAACATCACAGAGGAATTCAAAAACTCAAACAAGTAAAAACTGAACAAATGGTGGGTCTCACGACTCTTCCGGACTACCACTGATTTTCAAAACAAACATAAATACATGTCCTTTCAACCAAGATGAATGAGGTATCATAAGCGGTGTGGAGGTCCAATTCTACAACTGCTCATCTCAATCAACATCACGGATGCCTGATGTCCCAGCCTCTCCTTCGACGATTGCATCGATTTCCTCAAAAAGGCCCAAGATTCCTTCACCAATACCACCATCATTGACATATTCTCACACCGGGAAAGACTGGTACAAATGAGGAATTGGCCTAGCCAACGCTCGATCAACACTTTTGTTCATTATCTCTGCTTCATCATCTGTTGGGACATATCCTAAACCAAACTTTGCTTTTTTGGCGGGGATTTGAATAGGCTCAACATTTCCTTGAAAGCGCTTCCCCAATCCAAAACCTGGTTCGAAACCACTCCGGAGCATAACAGTAGCTATCATCTTGTACACAAAAGGCATAGGGGGTTGTGGAGCCAAGTCATCACCAGTGGTATTTACCAACTCCACCGTTTAGAAATCACAACCTCGAGAGACATCATCAATGATCAGCGCATACCCATTGGAATGGCTCCCTTCACCATAAATGACCAATTCCTGGTCCTTCCAAACAAATTTCATTAGTTAGTGAAGGGTAGAAGGCACAACCCCGACCATGTGGATCAATGGTCTTCCTAGAAGCAAGCTGTAACTGGTATTGATATCCAACACCTAAAACTCAACACTAAATTCAACAGGACCCATCTGAATCTCCAAGTTCACTGCACCCATCGTGTCTTTTTGCTCTCCGTCGAAACCCTCACATTGACTTGGTTCCGGTAAACCTTTCCCAAGCTGAAGTTTAGCTGCTTCAGAGTCAAAACTAGGCAAATATTGAGACCGGATCAGTCATCAACCAAGACGTGATTTATAATCTTGTTTCGACACATAATGGTGACCTGCAAAGCTTTGTTGTGCATCCTACCTTCAAAGGGTAGCTCTTCGTCACAAAAACTGATGCGGTGTCCTCGAATGACTTGGCCTATCATAGCCTCCAAATTATCACTGTTAGTACCCACAGGCACACAAGTATCATCTAAAGCCTTCATCAAAACTTGCCTGTGCATTTGTGAACTCATCAGCAAGGCCCACAAAAAAATCTGAGCTGGTGTTTTCTCCAGATGTTTCATGATCGAATAATCTTTTTGTTGCATCTTTCTCCAAAACTCTTCTGCTTCAGCTTCACTAATTGGACTTTTAGACTGGTCCTTCTTCTGTAGTCCATGGGCTAACTCTTCTGGTGTGTAGTATCTGTCGGATCTAGTTATACCCTGGGTAGCAGCCGCTTCAATTACAAACTTCTCCTGAGGGGAAATTTCTCTTGGCACCAAGGCAATAGCTTTCTGAGGTGTTATAATTATAAATTCCTTCTTTTCTTTTATGGACAACGAGGCCACAGCTCTCTCTCAAGGTCATTTTAACCAACCGAGACAATCACATTTGCCGTGCACCACTCCTCCTTTGTCTCTATCATGTTGATAGTGACGCCTCCATGGTTTGGAAGAGAATTAGTGTTGACGTTTGGTGCAGTAGTCTGAAGAGTGACCACTCTCTGGTCGATTAAGTCTTGGATCTTGTGATTTAGGTTAATACAATATTCTGTATCATGTCTAACACAATTGGAATGATATGCACATCTTTGATCCGGTTGTAGAATCTAGAGTTGGTGTTAATGGGCTTGGGACCAACTGGATGCATCATGCCTGCCGCAGTCAATTGCTCGAATAACTTTGTTCAGCTTTCAATAAGCAGAGTGAAATTTCTAGCAGGCTTCTTCTCAAATCTTGGACGGGGATCATAATTGCCTTGTTGAGAGGGAGGCATTTGATGATAATTTGGAGCATTTGGACAGGGGAGGGGGGGGGGGGTTGATAACTTGGGTATGAATTGGTTTGGTAATTTGGTTGTGGAGCTTGGTAGTTTGGAGGGGTATTTTGATAGTATGGGGGTGGAGTTTGATATACTGGGGGAGGGGTTTGGTAATTTGTCTGGACGTTTGCACAGTTTGGTGCAGCATTTCGGTAATGAGGAGGTGGGGTTTGGTATACTGGAAGCGGAGTTTGGTAAATAGGGGGAGGGGTTTGATAATCTGGAGAGGGAGCATTCTGGTAATTGGGGGGAGGGGTATGATAATCAGCCTGTATATAACAAGCCGGGTATGGACTCTGCGAAGGTCGAGAACGACCTTGGTACGATGAGAGTTTTCTTGAGGGTTTCTTTCCCTCAGATGCACAAGAAATAGAAGACATGTCTTCTCTCTTCTTCTTCAACAGCCCCTAGGATCCAGACGAGGCAGCAACACATGCAATATTCTCGGTTCTTAGTCTGTCTTCAATAGTCTCACCTACCTTGACTATCTCGGCGAACTTCATCCAACGAGCAATATGATCCTGTCGTAATACTCGGGCTCTTGAACCCGCACAAATACTTCAACAATTTCTTTCTCAGACATGGGAGGCCGAACCCTAGTTGCCTCCTTTCTCCATCTATACACAAATTCCCTATAACTTTCAGTTGACTTTTGCTTCATCTTTTCTAAACAATAGCGATTAGGAACAGTCTCAACATTATAAGCAAATCGCTCAGCAAAATCTCTAGCAAGAGCGTTCCAACCGGACCACTGTTTCATATCTTGGGAAGTGAGCCATTCTAGTGCCTCCCCTTTCAAGCTTCAGCTAAAGATCCGCATTAACAAAGTTTCATCTCTACCAACTCCCATGAGTTGGTCACAATAAGCTTTCAAATGAGCCAATGGATTTCCTGTTCCTCCAAAAGTGTCGAACTTCAGCAGTTTGAACCCTTCAGGAAGGTCCATGTTTAGATGGATGCATAAGTCTTCACAACTGAATCTGGTGACCTCTGGAGTGTAATGCAACTCATTCACAGCTTGTAAGATTTCCTCCTTTAGAATCTGTTTGGATGACTCTTCTTTAGCCCTACATTCTTTTTCTTGCTCCTCATAGTGGTCGAGCTCAGAACAATTGGCGTAAGGCTCATATGGGACTGGGATTTAGAAAGTAGTCTTTTGAGGTAAGGGTGGAACAATGGAAGGATTCTGGACATTTAGGGGGGCTTGGTAATTTTGGGGGCAATTTTGGGGGTTGGTATGCTGATGGGAGAAGGATTGCGGGTTGGTATTTTTATTTCATGGGGGAGGGTAAGCTTGTGGGTTTGCATTTTGATGAAGAAGGAAGGTTAGGAGGTTGTTATTATAGGGGTATATTGGTGCTTAGGGGTAAGGTGGCGCTTGGTGGGAAGCAGGGGCGTGATGAGGGCTTGAAGCAGTTAGGACAATGATGGGGGATTTTGAACTGGGTGTGAGAGTGGGTTCTGAACATGTTCTGTACTTGAACTAAGAGGAGGGAAATGGAGTGGAGGCCTTCCTTTGCTTGGAGGGTTGACTGAAAAAATTAGATTTGGTAGATCTTGTTTCTTCTGCACCTCAGCCTTTAAATTTGCAATCTATTGCATCAATTGCATAATCAACTCATTATGCTTAACAACAGAGGGATGAGCTACGACAACCTCGGTCAAGCCATTATTATCACTGTTATCGCCCATTGCTGACTTTCATTTATGAGAATTTTGACCGGGGAAGGAATCTTTGGGAGATTTTGATCTTGTAAAATAAGGATGATTAGCCAGCTTATCAACATAGACCAGTTCTAAGTACCTGTAGAGGAAAAACAACTCAAAGGCCAATATGTTAGTTTTAATTCATGACAACATGATGTAAAATATCACATAGAAGGCATATAAACACATAAGAGTGGTTTCATTTGAGGACATATTAACCCATGAATAATGGGGAGTGATTTTTGAAATAAGCAGGAATTTGCTCATTTTATTTTGAGACTAGTGACTCAGAAATGTTAAATTGCGTTGAGCTAAGGTCTTCTTGCTGCATCTTTTGACAGCTGTTGATATGAATTCAGTGCTTCCTTGTAGAATGAAAGAAAAAATTAAAAAGATAGGGGTCGGGCCTTAAAAGGCTGCCTACATATCTCCCAAGGAGAATTCAGGCCCTA